ATATTAAACAAATATAAAAGAGTATAAGGCAAGGAAGTGTCTTCTCACCGAATTTACTCAACCTATCCAGTGATGGGGTTAGAAGTCCTACCAAGACTCATTAGTAGTGTCCACAAGTTTAACAAAATTAAATATGAAAATGCCATAATATTGATGTAGCAGACAGGAAACTACAGAGATTCCTAGAGAAGATTATGAAGGAAAGCATCAAGAAAGGACTAAGTATCATTTGTAAGAAAAAAATGTATACTTTATTTACATCATTCAGACTATTGTTCTCACCTTTGTCGCCATATTTATTACAACGTTTCGGCCGTTGTACGCTTCGGACTCCTTCAGGTAGTTGGAATGTCGAACTGAACCCTTTATTTTGTGCCATGTTTAATGGGTGTCAGTTATCAGTTATCTCCTGTTAATTCACCTCTCAAAGTTCTTCACTGCCTTATGTGGGTATTGAACTCACACTCTTTGGGTCCTGTTAATATCCGAATAATGTAAATAATGTACATAATACCTCATCTCAGAAATTTAGACAGAAAATGTATACTTGTTAGCAAAAAAAGAAGCAGCTCAAGACGCGAATTACAAATTGTAGATACCAAAATCAAGGACAAAGAAAATTTAAAGGGAAGGGTTTTAACGGAGAACGGAAAATGTGTAGCCGAAATCCGAAAGAACATTAAGATAGCGAAAGATGCCTTCCAAAAGCTAAGCAAAGTATTAAAAAACCGGAACAAAAAACATCGGTAGAAACAAAGAAAAGAGTACTGGATTTTTTATGTAATGTCGATTCTCCTATATGACAGGGAAGGCTGGACAATCCCCTTACAGATCGAGAAAAGACTGGAGAACAGAAATGTGGTTCTACAGAAGGATACTGAGGATACCATGGACCGAACAAGTGAGCAACGACGCAGTTTAAGAAAAAAATGAAAACAAAATGTACACATAACACGAGAAAGAGACAGTTAAAACGACCTACGTACATAACTGGGAAAGAGTGCTTGGAAAAATTAACATTCACAATAAAAATTTAAGGAAAGATAGACAAAGTAAAAAAGATCATAACCTACCGAACAGACTTGGGTAAATGCTTGACAGAAGCCGATTTAGAAGAGGATTAAATATATAAGGAACTACAAATGACAAGAAATTGTGTAGAGTCATGATCGGTCACACCCTCAAGAAACACGGCACATTGAGGAATAATTGATAGCTGTCCTTCTTCTGTTTTCTATTTATGAAAGCTTATTAGGTTGGTTATCGATAGTTCCCCTTGACCTACTTGCCCTCAATATGTCCTTTGAATGTTAAATTTTCCAAGCCTTCTTTCCTCATTATGTCCTACAAATATCAGCTACCTCTTTCTGATTATAAGTACAAGTATCCTTTTTCGTTATCACTTCACTTTAAACTTCCTACTTTTTTACATGTCTCGCCCATGCTATTTTCAGCAACCTTCTGTCAAACCACATCTCTGTTGCCTCAAGTCTCTTCTTCATCCGTTGAGAACATTTTCTGGCATTTACTGCTATATAGAAGTATTAAAAAGTCTCACATTTTTAGTGGTCTCTTATAACACTCCCCAGAGTTTTATTTCTACAATTTTTGTCGTAGTTTACGTTTTTGCATGTTGACAGAAGTGTACAGTCTTTTTCCCTTGTCCGGCGACCGCCAATCTCTTCGGTTCAACAATAAAAGACTTCAACACGGAGAATTTTGACATGTACTAATCATCCAATGAGGGTCGCCTCACCACTGGGAGCCATTTCAGACACGAACGAGAACACGTCTGCATCGCTTGACACTCAAGGAACGACTAGCTGAAAAACTTTCTCTACCATTCCCACGCTAGCTCAGCCAATCAAAATCGACTTCTTTATTATGTCTTACATCTGACCCCCAAGGTTAACTTTCGGAGCTGAGATGCACTTCCCCTAAAAATAATAGACTGCTAGACTAATTTTTAACAATGCCTTGGACTATCTTTCTTGTAAACGACCCGGCATTTTGTCTTCTAACGATTGATTGTAAGTTCTTTACTTGCATTATTTACATTATTCAAACTATTATCCTTATGTTCGTTTTCATACTCACAACATTTTGGCTGTTGTATGCCCCGGCCTTCTTAAGAAGATTAGAATTTCGAACGATCCCTTTATTTCATCCATCGAAGTAGATTGTTCTAGTTCCACATGTCATGCCTCTTCCGGATGTCTCAGTTATTTCTCTTTAACTCAACTCTACAAGTTTTGGTTCACCACTGCTGTGGCCTGGTATTGAACACACAACTCTTGGGTCTAGTCACTGAATCTAACTAACTTGTTTATCCACTGTACCATGTGTCCTTGAGTTAAAGGTAAATGCCTGAGACATCCCAGGTATAGCAAGTGGAACTAGAACAGTTTCAATCACATGAAGAAGGCTGATGCATACAACGGCCGAAACGTTGTGAATGTGACAATAAAGATGATTATAACAGTCAGAATAATGTAAATAATGCAATTAATCATAATACCTCGTCTCAGAGATATAGAGGGCGAAACGTTGTGAATACTTCAATGAAGACGAGGACAACAGTCAGAGTAATGTAAATATTGCAAGTAATCATAATAAGGGATATAGAACGTTATGAATATAGTAATGAAGATGAGGATAACAATTCGAATAATGTATATAATATAAGTAATCATAATACCTCATCTCAGAGATATAGAGGCCGAAACGTTATGAATATGGCAATGAAGATGAGGATAGCAGTCGGAAAAAAGTAAATAATGAAAATAATCATAATGCCTCATCTCAGAGATATAGACAGTTGTTAGTTCTTTCTTCTCTTGATTCTTTACTACGTTGGCTATGATCTCCTGCAGTTTATTGGTTTGTTAGATTTATAAAATTTGGGATTTTGGGTTAAAATGAGCGTGATATTATGATTGCAACGTAGATGGATCACGTCAAAAGTATTTTATAATCGTGCAGCCAAAATCTGATATGTATATCTGAGCAGAAATAAAGGGTTGGGTAATTAGAATTGATTGCTAGAAAGATCGGAACAGAATAGAATTGCCAGAATACAATTTGTAAACAGCTCTAGACAGATTAATACTGATAGAATTATCTTATCGGACTAATAATTGTAAGATTAGCGGAAGCTGACATACTCATAATACGTCATGAACCTCGTAACATATTAGAATGATAAGGACCCCACGGGTACCGTAGCTATAGAAGCACTGTTGGGTCCTGGGTACTCTACAAGCTAGTCTTGAATTCATACATTTCCTTCCTCTTGACTGTTTCTTTTTATAAATTTAACCCATAGCAGGGTAAAATGAATTTATGCCTTCCACAGCTATTAGCACAAATCAACGATAAGAAATCCAGAGGGATCTTAACTAAGAACGATGAATTCATCTTCCGCGTTGCTAACGATTCACCTATCCGCGACTCCTCGTTGTATATACTACAATTGACTAAAACGATTTGACCAACTAATATTTTGGTTGGTTGGGTTTATCTAGCGGCATGTCAATCTCTGTAGGTTATACAGAAATCTAAATAATTTGAATACAATTTTATGGTTTCGACTATATATATTTTGAAAGAAATTGTATGGCTTCAACCACAGAAAATGTATTGTTGGTCATTTTGCTATAAATATAAAATATATTGTCACTAATTCTACTAAAATATATATTGCCGATAATTTCGCTATATATATTGCTGGTAAATTTACTTTAAATATATATTGCTGATAATTATTTTTTTTAAATATATACACATGTAATGTTGTTATTTTTATTTTAAAAATGTATTTTTCTAATTTCATTAATGTTTTGTCTTCGTTTGAGGGTTCATTGTTTGCCGAAAGCTGTGATCCTAACAGGTGCTACTACCCCGGGTTAAGGTGACCCTGAAAACAAGATCAATTAAGAGGTGGCTCCACACTCCTCAAAAACTCCAGATCAGAATTCTTGCTGCCAGATGCAGTTGATCGTCGTACCCAGGACGAACCAACTAAAATTAACAAAGATATACGCAGATTATCGAGCAGGATTGGCCCTGATATGTTAATAAATTTATATAGACTAAAATTGTCAAATCTGGATATGGTCTGGCTGATGAGTCAGATTTAAGCAGACGAAGATTGATAGATATATATATGGGTGGAGTAAGAGTGTTAAATATAGCCAAGTCTACACAGATAGGGAGAGAGAATGAGAGAGAAAGAGAAAAATAGAGAGAGAGAGAGATCTGCGATGATAAATGCCAGAAATCAACAATCTGAAGAGTCAAAATAAACTGAAGAAATATTCTTCCGAAATCCACACCTGGAATGGTCTCTGGTTATCTAAGTCTATATTTTTTCCTTTCCGAATTCTTTGAGGTTAGTACAAAAGCCTGAAAACCATTTTCAGAATAATTGATATTCTTATTTGTGTTTTTTCGATTGCTTTTCCTTCCGTCCCACGTGTTTTGGTGCATTGAGATTTGCAAGTCTGAAAGGGCAAGGAGAGAAAAATCTGAATGTAGGCAAACGGAGAAAAATATGGGCCTCAGAAGAGTGTTAATCAAAGAAATTTGAGTCTAATAGGAAAAACAATGAGGGGATAGATAGAGGAGAATAGTGGGATAAATTCAGGGTAGGGAAGAAGAAGAAGAAGAAGAAGAAGAAGAAGAAGAAGAAGAAGAAGAAGAAGAAAAGGAAAAGAGGTGAAAGGTATGAAAAATAAGAGGGGAATTAAAATACAAGTGAAACAAAGGAAGAAAGAAAAAAAAAGAAATGAATATGTTACAAAGAAAGAAAGAAAGAAAGACAGATAGACAGAAAAGCAGAAAGGCAGAAGAAAGAAAGAAAGAAAGAAAGAAAGAGAATGTGAACAACATCTGCGAGAAAAATGAATATGCTGACAAAGAAAGAAAGAAAGAAAGAAAGAAAGAAAGAAAGAAAGAAAGAAAGACATTGACAGATAGACAGACATTGGGAACAACATCTTTCAGAAAGAATAAATATGTCGAGAAAGAAAGAAAGAAAGACAGCGAAGGGAAAGAAAGAAAGAAAGAAAGAAAGAAAGAAAGAAAGAAAGAAAGAAAGAAAGAAATGAACAGACGGATAAAGAAAGAGAGAAAGACAGATGCCGAGAAAGAAAGAAAGAAAGAAAGAAAGAAAGAAAGAAAGAAAGAAAGAAAGAAAGAAAGAAAATGGCAACAACATCTGACGGAAAAATGAATATATTGAGAAAGAAAGACACACAGGCAATGGGAACAACATCTGAAAGAAAGAAAAAGGAAATAAGGAAACACCTAAAGGGGAAAGAAAGAAAGAAAGAAAGAAAGAAAGAAAGAAAGAAAGAAAGGAAATGGCAACAACATCTGACGGAAAAATGAATATATTGAGAAAGAAAGAAAGACACACAGGCAATGGGAACAACATCTGAAAGAAAGAAAAAGGAAATAAGGAAACACCTAAAGGGGAAAGAAAGAAAGAAAGAAAGAAAGAAAGAAAGAAAGAAAGAAAGAAAGGAAATGGCAACAACATCTGACGGAAAAATGAATATATTGAGAAAGAAAGACACACAGGCAATGGGAAACAACATCTGAAAGAAAGAAAAAAAGGAAATAAGGAAACACCTAAAGGGGAAAGAAAGAAAGAAAGAAAGAAAGAAAGAAAGAAAGAAAGAAAGAAAGAAAGAAAGGAAATGGCAACAACATCTGACGGAAAAATGAATATATTGAGAAAGAAAGAAAGACACACAGGCAATGGGAACAACATCTGAAAGAAAGAAAAAGGAAATAAGGAAACACCTAAAGGGGAAAGAAAGAAAGAAAGAAAGGAAATGGCAACAACATCTGACGGAAAAATGAATATATTGAGAAAGAAAGAAAGACACAGGCAATGGGAACAACATCTGAAAGAAAGAAAAGGAAATAAGGAAAACTAAAGGGGAAAGAAAGGGGGAAAGAAAGAAAGAAAGAAAGAAAGAAAGAAAGAAAGAAAGAAAGAAAAGAAAGAAAAAGAAAGAAAGGAAATGGCAACAACATCTGACGGAAAAATGAATATATTGAGAAAAGAAAGAAAGACACACAGGCAATGGGAACAACATCTGAAAGAAAAAAAAGGAAATAAGGAAACACCTAAAGGGGAAAGAAAGAAAGAAAGAAAGAAAGAAAGAAAGAAAGAAAGAAAGAATGATAATTATTAGGGTAAATGCCTGTTAGAAAGAGAAAATGAATATCTTCATGAAGAAAAAAGAAATAACGAAAGACTATGGACACATCGTTCGGAAAGCATGAATATGCCCAGAAAGAAAGAAAGAAAGAAAGAAAGAAAGAAAGAAAGAAGGAAATGAACAGACGGATAAAGAAAGAGAGAAAGACAGATGCCGAGAAAGAAAGAAAGAAAGAAAGAAAGAAAGAAAGAAAGAAAGAAAGATAGGAAATGGCAACAACACCTGACGGAAAAATGAATATATTGTGAAAGAAAGAAAGACACACAGGCAATGGGAACAACATCTGAAAGCAAGAAAAAGGAAATAAGGAAACACCTAAAGGGGAAAGAAAGAAAGAAAGAAAGAAAGAAAGAAAGAAAGAAAGAAAGATAGGAAATGGCAACAACATCTGACGGAAAAATGAATATATTGAGAAAGAAAGAAAGACACACAGGCAATGGGAACAACATCTGAAAGAAAGAAAAAGGAAATAAGGAAACACCTAAAGGGGAAAGAAAGAAAGAAAGAAAGAAAGAAAGAAAGAAAGAAAGGAAATGGCAACAACATCTGACGGAAAAATGAATATATTGAGAAAGAAAGAAAGACACACAGGCAATGGGAACAACATCTGAAAGAAAGAAAAGGAAATAAGGAAACACCTAAAGGAAAGAAAGAAAGAAAGAAAGAAAGAAAGAAAGAAAGAAAGAAAGGAAATGGCAACAACATCTGACGGAAAAATGAATATATTGTGAAAGAAAGAAAGACACACAGGCAATGGGAACAACATCTGAAAGAAAGAAAAAGGAAATAAGGAAACACCTAAAGGGGAAAGAAAGAAAGAAAGAAAGAAAGAAAGAAAGAAAGAAAGAAAGAAAGGAAATGGCAACAACATCTGACGGAAAAATGAATATATTGAGAAAGAAAGAAAGACACAAGCACTCCATCCACTATTCTTCTTCTATCACTCCTATCTGCTCTCGCTCCAAATCTTCTGCAACCCCCTGCATCCTAGTGGCTTCACGCCTTGCTCGGGGCGTAATGCTTAAAAAAAATCAAAATGGTTTAATTCTTTTTTATTCTATAAATAGATCTTTTTTTTCCATTCTCAGATTGAAAAGAAAATAAATTCCTAATGATTACTTGTTTTTTTTTTTTAGAACCAATTCCTGGAAATGTTGGATGCCATTATTGAATGTTATTACAGATACGGAATATCTGTTGATTATTGTGCTATTATATTTTATAATATTATCCTCATGGTACCTTTTTTGTCAAAACTCTGGTGTTTTTTCTTGTTTGTTTTGTTTTGTTATTTGTAACAGGATTCATTGGCTAAATCTTATTCACATTTGGTAGGACTGACAGGAAAGATTAATCGAAAAATACGTAATATTTGTTCAACTGTGTTTTGCATCTTGGCGAAATGGACAGATCAACTGATTCGTAAAGTGAAATTGTGTTCATCCAGGATGTTCTTACTTTTGCTGGATGAACCCCGCCATAATTGACCATATCTTTATGGGTGTGACTCTACTCACCACACTGAGACTATTTAGTTCAAATTTAGAGGTTTTGAAACCATAGCTGTCCTTAACCGCGTGCTCCCAAGGCTTTAGGACCTAGCCAGAACAATAGATCGATTAAACGAATCAAAAGGATATATTGATTATTCATCGTCTTATAAATCAAAGATGTTGTGGACAGCTGAAAATGACCAGAGATTACATGGTCGAAACATTGTAACTTCAATAACATCTCTAGTAATTAATATGGGAGCAACAGTTAAATGACTCAAATAATTTATATTAAAAATTCTTAATTACAAAAGTCTAATAAAATAAGTGACACCTGAAGATGACTCCGGGGTACTTGGTCGAAACATCGTGTCTATAATAGCGTCTATAATAATCAAGGTGAGAAAATAAGCGCAACTAATCGAATAAGTTAAAATATATTGGAATTCATCATCTCAAAAATCAAAACGTCTATTGAATACCTGAAGATTGCCACATGGTAGCTGACCGAAACGTCTATAATAATATATATAATAAACAATATGAGAAAAATAGTTCAAATATTTTAAAATATTATACGGTATTTTCTCATTCTCAAAAATCAAAAAATCATAATGAACAAATGAAGATGGCCACAGGGTAACTGACCGAAACGTTGTTTTGCTTTTGTTCTTGAAATTCTTTAAACGAAAGTCACTTTTTGAATCTGCGTGCGTTATTGTAATCGTCATAGTTGAATGTTGGCTTTCTTTCCATAAAACTGACAACATTTCATTAGCTTTTTCAATTTCAGTTCAACTTTTATCACAATCATATTTTTTTCTTGTTCATTGTGACAGTGTGAACGTTGAAGAATAATTACTTTGGAAGATTTTATACCATAAAATGTTGACATTGTTATGTTGAACTCAGCCATTAGTTACAATGAACTTTCACCAGCGTCTAGTCTGTTTAAAATTTCCACTTTTTGCGATAACTTCAAAGTTGTTCTTTTCCTCTTATTCCCATCATCCTTTGCACCAATACAAGCCATTAGGGTGAAATAAGCATAAGCAATTATCCAAAGTAAATTACCTGAAAAACAGAAATTTCAAACCAGTTACATATCACTCAAATAGTTCAAATATACACATCAAATTTATGTCCGGATATGTGGGATTCCGGATATGAGGTAGTCCGGATGTGCAGGATTCCGGATATAGGCACTCCAGATATGCGGGATTCCGGATATAGGCACTCCGGATATGCGGGATTCCGGATATGCGGGATTCCGGATATGTGGGATTCCGGTTATGAGGGATTCTAATGTATTATGAAGTCAATCTCTCTTTAGATTTTACAAGGAATTGCAGTAATCAGGTTAGCCTGTTTAGCTCATGCACCATTACGTAAACATTTAACTCATACAGAACTATTAAATCTGTAGTTTATTGCTCGCTGTATTTTCAGGAAAACAATATTGGCTTTAAAAACAAGAATTACATACGGTAAAATAAACATCGATATTTTATCAATGCTGCATTGTATATAATATTGAAAGCAAAAGCAAGGAGTCATTTAAACTCGTGTTGCATCATTCTGGATCATTAAACATTGAAATGATTCGTTATTGTTTGTCAAAACCCTGGGGTTTTTTGTTTTGTTTTTTTTTTGTAACAGGATTCATTGGCTAAATCTTATTCACATTTGGTAGGACTGACAGGAAAGATTAATCGAAAAATACGTAATATTTGTTCAACTGTGTTTTGCATCTTGGCGAAATGGACAGATCAACTGATTCGTAAAGTGAAATTGTGTTCATAAAGCAAAAAAAAAAGAAAAAGCGTCTGTCAATCTTTCTGTTTTTCTTGTTTTATAAAACTAATTTCGTTTACTTTAAGAGTATATATATATATATATATATATATATATATATATATATATATATATATATATATATATATATGTATATACTATACGTTGTTTATTTAGACACAAATATTTAAGTAAACGGTCTATTTTTCTTTTTGTAATAAACAGTATTAACAACATTTACCGGCCTGAATGTCCGAGAAATTTTCATAGAAAATATGTCCTCGCAAACGAATCAAACCTGTATCCTACACTGAACCGTCATATAGCCTGACATGCTATACAAGGTTAGCTACAAAAGGGGCGTCTGGTTAACTGGTATAGCACGGCAAGCTATATGACAGTTCCGTGTAGATTAAGGTTCGATTACTGTGGGAGTACACATAATTTCTAAGAAAATTTCTAGAACGTTCAGGCCAGTAAATGTTGTTAATAATGTTTATTATAAACAGGGCATTTACTTAAATATTTGTGACTGTAGAAATAACGTTAAACTAATAAAATATATTCAAATAATTGTCGGACTTTTGTCCATTTCGTAGTATATATATATATATATATATATATATATATATATATATATATATATATTATGAATATGGCTTTTATTGATTCATGTATTACTATTCGTTTTTGTACTAATATTAGCTGCTATCGTGTTTTGTCAGACACAAGACCAACTTTATTTAATAATCGACAGGATATCAATAATTGAAAAAAAAAATAGAAATGGTCTATTTCAAAATCTGTACCAACCGAACGGCACAAGATTGTTAAAATTTTGATCTGTTAAATCTCCATCCGTTTCTGTCTGTATTTTTCATTTTCAGCTTATCTCTGTGCCTTTCTATCTGTAATTATCTCCTTTTAGAGTTTAAAATAAGTTCCCAGATCACTCTTATAAATAAAGGCAATGAACAGACAGAATAAATTCCATTTTTAAAGTAAACATTTTGCATACAGCTCTCTCTCTCTCCCCACCTCTCACTCCCCCTCACTCACTCTCTCTCCTCTCCCTCTCTCAATCCCCCTCTCATTCCCCCTATTTCTCTCTCCTCTCACTCTCCCTCACTCTCTCCCTCTCTCTCTCCCAATCTTACTCCCTCTCAACCCCCGCTCTCTCTTTCTCTCTCATTGGTTCCGGTGTTTATTCGAAGTTGCAATGTCATTTTGATCTTACACAATTTTCCCATGATGTAAAAAATGTTTTATTAACACCGTAACATTATTGCACGTGTCTTTAGATAAATTTATTAAATGAATATATTAATACAGCTCAAAAGATTATCTGAAAAGGAGCATATAATGGTGAAAAAAGAACACGAACTTAATAAAAACAAAATTTTATGGTCAAAATGTTTATGTTATTATTAAGAGGAAAGACTAAAGTAATTTTTTATTTATATTAATTTTTCAAATTTAATCACAAGTTCGAAATTTTGGTTAAAAATCTTGTTTTTCTTCCATCCGTGGGTGGGCCAAAGATTAGTATAAGAAATTATAACATCTGTTTTTGCCGTTAAAACATATTGTTTTGAAAATAATTGCAAAAATCAAATAATTGTCGGAGTTTCATTAATTTTGGAGTGTCAATCTGAGGACAGAAGAGGATTTTTTAAAAAGTTGGATGATTTTATGGTAATTACGAAGGTAGTGCGGCTCGGAGGACTATATATATATATATATATATATATATATATATATATATATATATATATAAAGGAAGTATTCATACAAAACTAAGGCAAAGGTTAATGATTTAAATGGCAAGACATCCATCTTGCAAACGATTCAAATAGTACACAAAAACCTCTAAATCCGTTATGCATGAGTTGATCCTTGTTTATATAAATTTCTGCCGTATTAGTTGTTTTTTTTACTACAAGCTTTCGTCTGTTCCTACAGACATCGTCAGGTATATAATAGATGTTGTTCTTGGTTTTTTCTTAGTAATAAGAGGACATCGAAAATATATGTGTATTGTATCCGAAATGCTATAAAAAAATGAGTTATTGGTTTTTGAACGCGCCAAAGCAACGCTGAG